AAAATTTTAAGGGGGTCTGAATACTTTCCGTACCCACTGTATCTTTATGAAACACCTCTAAATAGTATGTTTTCACTAATTCAGTAAGATTTAAAAGGTAGAAAAAAATTGGATTCAGTCACTTGAGTAGTTTAAGACCACTTACTTTTTTGGCAGTTTTGGGGACCAGGGCCCCAACAGGACCCATTGTAACAGCTCCGGTCACACTTCTTACCTGTGGGAGGTAAAGTAGAACATTCTCATTCAAAATGCAAAATTAATTAGTACCATTTAATATACATGTAAAAACTTCTGAGGGACATACAGTGTTCTGCTGAGTTTGATTCCTCTTTGATTTTAGGCTGGCTCTTCATGTTCAGAATGTCAGTCCACTGGATGGTCTCCACGTTACATAAATGATCGTTACTGGCAAATTTAATCCCACCCTTCAGTATTTCTAGGAACGGAAAATGACAGTGTTTGAACAATGCTTTCACGTATGACAAACTTCACATTTGAAATACAGGTCTATTAATATTTTCCAAATATAAATTCCAGAGCTGGGCATGAGAAGTAATGAATATTATTCCCTCTACAAAACAAATGTGTGAAAGACATAAATAGGTCATTTAGGAGCATTTGTTATTTCCATTTATCAGGAAACACACACACACACAAAGAACAGTTTTACATAACCATATACCAGTTAAGCTAGTTAGTGGCAACTGGTTCACGCCTTGTCCGATGCTGTTGTTGTAGTTCAGGAGGGCAGTTAAAGCATATTTGTCGTCATAAAGAGAGTGGCCACGGATGATGCGCAGATTCTCAAGAGGGATTCTAGGAGCCGTGTTGATCCCAATAAGAACATAGCCACCAACTTCTTGGATGCTCTAAAAATCAGGAACAACAACACAAAACAACATTAAACACAAAACTCACTAAGCCTTCAACACTATAACTATATAAAGAGTTGTCTGGAATAGCATATAGTTTATTTATTTTTTTTAAATGTCATGAAATATAAACTGGACTTAGCAACATAGTAAAAATATGGTGTACGGATGTCTTACAATAAAACCAAACACTAAGGTAACAGTAAAATAACATTGATCATAGTGTTTGAAAATGGATATATCATACCCTGAGAAAGGACAAGTCATGTTTTTCTGTCATATATGTGATTTCCAGGTTTTCCAGAATGACGGTGCAGTTGCTGTACATTTTTACCAGAATCTGATAATGGTCATCCACTGTTCCTAGAAGAGCCAGTTTGTTGTTCGCTCCCTGACACACTTCACAGACATGAACAGATCCTAGCTGAGGTACTGCAGCGCCTGAGTGAGCAGGCTAGGCCTCAAGCCTCCCCGGTATTAACTACTCCATCCGTTCCAGCTGAAGGGTCCACCCCCCTGTTCTCCGGGCCTCTACCCGAGCCAAGACTGCCGGCACCCGAGAGGTATGATGGGAACCCTGAGAGGTGTCGGGGCTTTATCACTCAGTGCACTTTGACATTTGGTTTACAACCTAACGGCCGGCTCGAGATATTCTTGACCCAGGTCTCATCAGAGAATATCGCTGCCGGGGACAACAATGCAACTAGAGGAACGTCAGGAGCTATCCCTGAGGGAGGGGCTCCTGTAAGGCCCAGCTTGGAAGAACTCTCCCTGATTGCAATGACTCTCCCAGCCTCTAGTTGGCACTAACTAGTAACACTCCCCATTTTGCTTACACTGGTTCTATGCAATAACACTCCTAGCCACTAGGTGGCCCTAGCTTCTGTTGATAGATAACATCACTACTCATTAGGACTTGAATGCCCCCAGCCGTGTGTCTTTACCCAATTAATGTTGGCCTATTTAAGCGTGCCCCATTTGCTCTCCTGTGTTCAGTCTTGAGCCTACTACGCCTGTGTTTCCTCACCACCTAAGCTAGTTTATTGAGATTTTGTCTTTTGCTCATCTTTTATTTCTTGCATTTTTCTATGGAAGCACGGCTTCCCTTTTGTTGTACGTTTGAACTTGGACGGCTCCAGTAAAACTTTTGTTCAATTATCTAAGTCTCTCTGTTATGCCTCTGCCCTTGGATCCCTCTGTCGACTGTCATCCACTATAGCACAGTGGTAGAGGAGACAGCTCGGTTGCCTAGCGGACCCGAGTTTGAATCCCGCCTCAGACACCCATCACACTCACACACTCATTCGGGGAAAAACTACAACTACATTTACCCAGTCTGTTCTATATTACTGCAGAGACTGTTAAGATTCTGACTAAAAGGCAAAAATAGAATTAAAGTCACTAAAACTGTGAGGTCTTAATGATTAGTCACAAAATTAGTCATTAACAACTCCTATTTTTCACCACAAGATATCCCTAATGAGACACATCTTAGCAGTTTCCACTAATAGATGCATCAGACTGTGAAATTGTGAATAATTACATTATCGCGTATGTAATAAAGTTATTGTGTAACAGAAGACAGATCCAGTAATTTCAAAAATGACTTCACTTGATCAGATGCAAAGGGTTAGCACTGATTTGAAGGAAATAAGCATGTTAGATGAGACACATACGGCAAAGTAACCTCAACACAAAGACAAAACAATGAATCAACTATTATGTATTCATGGGTCATGGTGGGCTTCTTGCTATAGTTTCTTGTTCTCTCAGTTCTAGTTTTAGTTGTTTTAGTACATCAGTGTAGCTTTGGCAGGTAGCTGTTTTTATTTTTTTTATTTTATTCCACGTTTATTTTATGAGCTGCTCATGTCAAAGTCAAAGTTGATTTATAAAGCACTTTTTAAAAACAGCAAGTGTTTATCAAAGTGCTGTACACACATACAAGAATAAAAATATAAATGATACAAACAGTCAACAACACAAAAGAAGACAATAAGACACCATAAAGACAATAAAAGAAAGCAGCTCTCATGTAGCGTCAAATGCCAGACTATAGAAGTACGTTTTTAGGCTAGATTTAAAAACAGCAAGTGTTTGAGCCTGTCTAATGTATAGGGGCAAACTATTCCAGAGCTTTGGGGCCGCCACTACAAATGCTCGGTCACCCCTGCTCTTCAACTTTACCCATGGGACAACTACAAGCAAATGGTCAGCACACCTAAGTGCTCTTAACAGAGCATATAGCTTGATCAAGTCGGAAAGATATGTAGGTGCTAAACCATTAAAGGGGTCATATGATACGATTTCAAGTTTTCCTTTCTCTTTGGAGTGTTACAAGCTGATTGTGCATAGATAAGATCCCTGAAGTTGCAAAGACTAAAGTCTCAAAACCAAAGAGATATTCTTTATCAAAGTTAAGACTCTGCCACGCCCCCCTAAAACGACTCGTTCTAACACGCCCCCCACATATCTACCTCACTATGTGAAAATATTAGCATAATGCACCCAAATGTGCATGCAAAGAAAGAAGGCGTGGTTTCAGTAACCGCAGTTATTGTTGAAGCAGCCATGTCAGGGAGACGCTGTGTGTTTCTAGGCGAAAGCAAAAGTACTTTATTTGGCCTTCCGACAGGGGGCATAGAGGTGGGGCATAGAGGACCTACAATAATGTACAGTATTTGAAAAATAATGTGTTTTTTGAACATTAAAGCATGTCAACATATTCTGTTAAACCAAATACACAAAATAATGATCTTTAAAAAAGCATCATATGACTCCTTTAAGAGATTTAAAAACAAATACCAAGATCTTAAACTGAATTCTAAAATGGACAGGTAACCAGTGAAGAGAGGCAAGAACGGGGGTGATGTGTTCCCACTTTCGTGTACCCATCAGCAAGCGAGCTGCCACATTCTGGACCATCTGCAGTATGAAGAGAGAGGCCTGACTAATACCTATATAGAGGCCATTACAACAATCCAGACGAGTTGAAATAAAAACATGAAGGATTCTTTGAAAGTCTTTAGAAGACAGGAAAGATTTCACATTGGTGAGTTGTCTCAATTGGAAAAAACTAAATTTAACTACCGAGTTAATCTGTTTGTCCAATTTAAAATCACAATCCATGATAACACCTACATTTTTTACAAAGGGCTTCACAAGTGGTTCAATTCACCAAGGTCCAAATCTGATGACTCACAAGTACCTCCCGGCGTAAACAGTATAACTTCTGTTTTATTTTCATTAAAATTAAGGAAATTTAGTGCCATCCAGGCCTTAATTTCCTCAAGACACTGCAACAGGGGCACTAAAGAGCAAGTATCTTTTCGTTTCAAAGGCAGATACATTTGCGTGTCATCTGCATAACAATGAAAAGAAATACCAAATTTCCTAAAAATATGTCCTAAGGGGAGCATATACAGGGAGAACAGGATAGGCCCCAACATGGAGCCCTGGGGGACCCCACAGGTGAAAGAAGCAGTTGAAGAGACAAAGTCTCCAAAACGAATTGAGATCGTTAAAAGAGCACAGTGCCACACTTCACTCTGAAACACACAGTGCATATATTTATTTAAGTCATTCTCAGCCTTTGCGATTTGACAGTCTCACTAAGCCATATCAAGATTTAATGTAACTCAAACCACATTAAATATAGGGTCACTTGCAACTAGTATAAATATGGTTTGTGCTGACCACAATGTTTTTTGTATGGTGAATTACTGGGTGCCATCAGAAATTAAGAGACGTTTAGACAGGTGAGACAGGTGCTGGCCAAATGGGTGCCCTAAGCAGAATTGTATTGTTGTGCCCCCTCCCCAAAATATTATGGAAGTTAAAAAAAACACCTACTATAGGGGTCAAAATAGAACTTTAATAAAATATAAAAGTAAATAACTAAATTGTAATTAAATTGTATTATTTACAAATTACAATTGTAGCTCGACAGTCGCCTATGGCTATGATTTTACTAATACAGTTGTCTGATTGATTTTATAGTCTCAAGCATTCAGAAATTACACAAAAGAAAATTAAGCAGTTTTACTTTGATAAAGCCAAGGATTAGTTTTTGTAAGGGTTGTGATGCCCACATGTTTTTGTTGAAGAAATTATAGAGGCTAGCATTTCTATCGCAAAAAGGTGGCCGAAAATTAAAGATTAAAAGTGGATATTTGAATTAAATGTTTGGTCAATATTAAACATTTGATCATCCTGTAAGTGTTAAAACAGCCATTTGGCGCCCTTTGCAATAATATGTAATGTACATAAATTGTTTATTTATTATGTATTTTAACAGTGTTATTCAATGAAATCATACGATTATTATTAATTAACCAATAGTTATTGCCTCATTTTTTTTATATGATGCATTTTATGGCATTTTAAAGGTTGTTGATCGCTTAGGTCTGTTTTTATTACCACAAAAATATTATCTGAATTCTTCGTAAATTATTATTTGAATTGATTTGAAGTATCGAAATTTGTAGTTAATTTGTAGTTACCATTGCTACAAGATGTTTTTTTTGTTTGTTTTTTGTAGTAAAATGATGGTTAATATTCGTAAGGGAACATGGAAACTCTGAGAGAATATTAAGGCAGATGCGGCTGTGATATTATTACCGACATTAAAACACGTAATTAACTTCAACATCCAAAAAAGTTTCACAGGATTATAAACGTACCAAAAAGTGATGCACGGGCTTCATTAGCCTTTTTTCTTTTTCTTATCTCGGCGCCGGACTACTGATGTCTTTTCCCGGGCATAGTTGTCCATCAATTATGATCATTTGCAGTCAGCCGCAAACATGAGGTGAGAGCGAGTGTGGGCGCGGATGCGAGAATGGCGCATCTCATGTGCTTCGCCTATCTACTGCGTTCACTATAAAACGCAGTTTTTATAATTATGTATATATGTTCATGTTTATATTATTATGTACGTGTATGTGAATATTAATATAGAATGAAAGTTTTTTTTTTTGAGCAACTGGGATGGTGCCCCCCTCGGAGTTGGTGCCCTACGCAAACTGCGTACTCTGCGTATACGGAGCGGCGGTATTGCGTTTAGAAACCAAACAGAAAATTTTTGCATGCTATTGGGCCTGTAAGGTTTTTGGTGCTGTGTTGATCATCACAAGGTCAACTCTGGGTCCTGAACCAGTTGAGAACCACTGTGAGTGGTAGAATGCATTGTTGTGTGGGTGGCAATTCAGATCTTTAATAGGTTTAGATATCAGTGAGGCCAAACAACTCAACCAGTCTCAGGTCAAAGTTGTTTCTAGTTTTAGGATAAATTAGACTCCACTTTTAAAATGTATGTTGACGGTTTAGAGGAGCCAGCTTGAGACAAGGAGACCAGGTCTTGAAGAATGGAGCTTTATAGTCACACAAGCGTCTCTCTC